CCCCAAAACCCCAAAACCCCAAAACCCCAAAACCCCAAAACCCCTTTTTAGCTCACTTAATTTGAAATGAACTAATTATTCATATCAATGCTAAAATACCTCAAATAAGTCTTCATCAAGTTGTTCATCAATGAGGAATTCCACTATAAACATAATGTTAGGGAATACATTTTGTCCATAACTCCGATGAGGGAGTTTAAATACTTACTTCTAGCGTACAAGCTCTCAATTTCCTTAATTAAGAACCTTTTCTCGTTTATTGAAGCTGCCTATTTTATATCAAAAGAACTCTTAATATACAAAGAATTTAATGGGTAAAAGGAGCCTATAGTCAGATTTTATACTCTTTCAGTTATTTTTCAACTGATAATACTAATATTTTCAGACTAAAGTCTTCAATATCTGAGAAAATTGAGTCAATTCCCTACCAGAGCAGTTAGCCTGGGCTGGACCTTCCTCGCTGCTTTATTGGATTGTTTGCTTCTAAATATCAGTATTTTACTGACTTTTCTAAATATTTCTCTCTTTCTAGGAAAGTTAAGCAATAAATTTACCTTTGAGATCCCACGTTATATCTGTTTTTGTGTCCAAGTAATTTTCTAAAATTGAGACTTAAGCTATACCTACCCATTGTGCTAAATGACTTCTTGTATACTTGATATCTCGGAGTAAAAATCAAAGTAACCTAGTGCCTTTAGGAAGAGGAAATACCGTATTCTAGGTAGGTCTGCTCGAGCTCTTTATATTTAGCCTCTTGAGTTTGCTTGGATCTCCTTCCTAACAAGAGATTAATACATTTAGGGATATTTAGCAAATTTTTACCTTTTGAATTACTCAATTTTAGTGATCTGATCTGGCTGAAAGTGAGCAGGTCTAGAAATTAACTTGAGAAATACCATTCGAGGATTCCTCCTCCCATGATGCTAGTGATAAGGACTCCAGTGAGCAATCATTTGACGACAAGAATCTCTTACATAATCTTTGATGGAGAGGGCTATTTCTGAGTCACTAGGAGCACTTACCTTAAATCATCTGATTTGAGATATAAAGGTGGGTTCAAATGAATAAATTTATCTAAAAATCACAAGACTGAATCTTACTGTCAATATCAGCAATTCCGTAGGAGCTGACCATATATGCATTAGAGGCCATAGGGATGTAAATAAAGTTGTATTCTTCACAGTCTTCTATGTCTCAGTTCCCTTCTAGTCCTTCATTGAAAGTCTTGTCAACTTTGAACCCAACATATCCCTTTTCAGGAGTTAGATGAAATTTTCCCTGCTCTGTGAAATTTGGATTTTCAGGATCTAAATGAGTAAATCTGTGATTTGGGACATCAGCGAGTGGCATCAGGAAGCTAGAAACGTTGTACCTGCTCTTAGAAACAAAATTATCTAGGATTATTAGATAAATTTACTATGAAGTATCTGCCAGTCTTTAAAGTAGATTCCAATACTTCGAGTAAGGACTACATCAATGGTATTGACCACTTTCTTCTCTTCCTGGAATAATTCAACTATATGTTTTGAAGAGGGCTTACTGAGTTTGTCGCAGTTTGAAAACCCAGGGACCCTCCTGCACTCATGGAGATAGCCCATAAAGAGGCTGTACACATTTCTTGAGAAATTATCTTTGAATTCTGGAGCTGAAAAAGCTACTTTTTGGTAATACTCAAAATCCTTATCGGACCAATTTGACAAATCGTTTGTAGCTATTTTTCAAGTTTAGAATATATATGAAGTCATAGTTTGTTGGAAAATAAGCACTGGTGAAAATTAGATCTGTGTTGTTACTCAACTTGATTTTGATATTTGACTAAAACTTACACCAAGGAAAAGAGTATAAGAATTTCTTGTATAAATCAGGATTTGACCTAAAATTTACACCTGTTAATACTTCTTTGAAATCATTTCTTGAGCTTTTTGGTAATATTTCTCTGTATGAATCCTGAAAGCTATATTGATTAAACTGTTAATCTCTAACTCCTCAAAATCGCTCAAACCTAGCTATCCTCACTCACCTAACATCACACTAGTACTCAAGTAATCACCCTCCTCAGTAACCCCAAAAACACGTTTCTCCTTTGCTACAAACTCTTCAAACACCTTATTTTAGCTCAAATTCCTCAAAAACGCTCAATGTCATCTCTGCTGGAGCTCTAAAGGGTATTACTGCTTCTTACCTCACTGTGACCCCATCAATTTCCTTTTTTGCCACTGTAAAGAATCCCTTTTGTTCTTCATATCTCACTTGGATAGCCCCATCGACTACAAACTGTTCTACTAAAGCTTCAAATATATGTACTAACACTGATTGTACATTCTTTGCCTGTGCTTCACTTCTTTATGCAGCTTGGTCTTCTTGGCCAAGGCCAAGAAGACTATACATGAGAGAAACAAGAATCGAAGGATGTTCATTATTAGATAGATATTTTTCAAAACTTAATAAAAATTCCGGGGTTTTGGGGTTTTGGGGTTTTGGGG